TCATTTGCTATAGACATGATTTATCTTTTGCATCTTTAGTTCTGTAGGCTATTGGTATACTTATAGTGAATTAGTATTGTGTATGGAAGTCAAACTACTACTTTGTTTACATTTTATAACTGCATGTTGTAGCCCCTACTTTTGTCAGTTGTAATACATTTAACATGTTTTAAATCCATCATATAAACATTATTAAACACATGTTTCATATTTCAAAAGTATTTTTTTAAAGAATATGGATTTCTGAGGCATAATGCGCCTTTAAACTTAATAGTTTCTGTTGTGAACAGAAAATTACCGTTTAACTTTTTACATTTTTCCATAACGAAGATTAATGAAATCTTTATGTTCCAAGGTGATTTCTACCTTAAATAGAAATGATATTTTGATTCGGATCATAACTATAAATGGTACTCAAATATGCCTAAAAATAAAAGTCGTTTTATGAATCTATAAGTGACATATGGATATCTAAAAATGTTACAAGATATTTGTTTATTTAATAAAAAAAAGACTCATCCATTCAAAGTTTTAGAAAAGTAAATATTTTATTGAAAATGATTCAAATCAACTGCACGATTTTATCACAAACTTACAAGTAAAAACAACACTTAAACTTAAGTTATTATTATCATTATTGTTATCATTATTATTAATGATTGTAAGATTGTAAGACTATTTAATGTTTTTGAAATGAAAATTTTTGACTAGAGTGCATGTACATATCAGTCACAAGTATAGTTAAATTTAGCTCTAATGTCGTTTTTTTTAGTACTAGTAGGTTCTTACCAAATTTGTTATTATAATTTTATAGTTTTTACAAATTCTGTCAATTCGAAGATTGTGTATTGTTTTATATATGTGACATCGGAGTATACCATATGTACACCGGGTAACATATATTTCACAATCAGCATATTGTTTCAATATAGGATAACATATGCTTTACATTTTCACAATTTTCACTTTTTAAATCTACCTGACTAACATTGAGAGTGGACATTCTCTTAAAGCAGCAAGTCTCCAGACTTGTTCATTTTCATGGAAATTTTGAAAATGTATTTTCAAAGAAATTTTGTGAAGTGAACACAGAAAGTTATTTACACATTGCAAATGTTGCTTAGAAACCGTGAACATTACCAAAAAGAAGAACAAAATTGCGGGGAAATAAAGCCTTAATGCGTTAGTAACGCTGTAGAAATATAGCGATAAATAGACAAAATTTGCTATTTCATCGCAAATAACATGTTAATTGTTACTTGGATTTTGAATCTGTTAACTTGTCTTTAAATCTTAGAAAATATTTGTCAAGTACCATTTTCTTGAATATTTTGACTCATGTTGAGGCATGCTACGTTAAAGAATAAGCAGTTTTTGAAATATGAAAACGACGGTGTTGAGATATGTTATAAACATGACATCGTAATATACCCCCACCCCTTCTCCCATCTTACTTCAGAGAACGCTTCCGGAAGAGCCATGTGCTCATGTTTATAGAGCGACCATGTTGAAATACATACCTTCAAACTGAACTTATTATTTTATTCATAACAAGTTTTTATTTTGTTCATTACAGGTTTTGATAACGACCCATTCGAGGCCTCGACATTAGTCGGACATTCGTTATCTTGGAAAAACGAGAAATCTACGAGAATTGGACCCGATAACAAAATGCATGCAAAGATATGGCGACCGGAAGATCCGTGTGTATCACGTGACGAACAGAATGTGTTATGTGATGATCGGAACATATCACGTGATAACAAAAATGAGAATAAAAACAACAACAACTGTGATAAAAATACTTGTTTTACTAATGCATCGACTGTGAAGAATAAGGAAAATCAGTCCATAGTAAATGAAATGGACAAAAGCTAGTAAACAAAATATATTTATCACGTGTTTATATCTGACAATCACATGTTCGTAAAATGTAATGACGTAGAACACACATTTTCTAGCAGTTACTGTACTTAACTTAATTTGAGGACAGCTGAGTCTCAATGTCATAAAACTGAGTTCTGTCTCAAATATCATGATTTTCATTGGTTAATTTACATTCTATGCCGGTTTCAGACCAATCAAATGCCCGAGTATCTAGAAACACTTACACCCTTTGACCTTTAACCAACATTTCCTCAATTTCACAATATCTTTGTCTCGAATTCTTTATTAGGAAGAAAATATGGATATCTATTTCAAATTTAATTATAGAAAATTTTCTTTTTTGAAAAGCTGAAGGTTTTCAAAGAACGGTGTACTAATTGAGAAATTCTTTTATCATGTTTCATGTTAAACTTTAACTTTAGATTTGTGGTTATTTTATTTAATCTTTTCTACAATATATATTTTATTATTAAAAACAAAATATATATGGTGATTCAACTTTTATTTATTTTTCTTCTTAATTTATTTATAATTTACATATTGGCGCATAGTGTAGCGTGTGTAATTATTTCTTTGATTCTTTTCTCCCATTTTTTTTTTATCTTTTCTCCCATTTTTTTATCTTTTTTCCCGTTTTGTTTTCATCTTTTCTCCATTTTTTAATCTTTTCTCTCATTTTGTATCTTTTTTTCAATTTTTACGATTTTTCTAGTCCAACAAACGAGTATTCTAGCAGACCTAAGTGTTCTACGCATTTATTTCCCCACTGTATTTATTTAATATAGATATGTTATAATTTATTTATAGCAATGTTAAATGATTTTTCAATGAAATTGTTAATAAATTATTCTAAAATTATTTTGTTGATTTTATTGTATCTAATTATTCACGTGTAATTCTTTCATGTGTTTATTAACAGGCCTTAATTCAGTTAAATTTCAGTAAGCAACGTGCCCTATTTTGGCTTATGTGTTGCAAATTACTACGCGTGCAACCTTTCGACCAGGAAGCGGTACTGGGGCAAACACACAACTCTTATTTTACTATAGAACTTCTATTAAAGCTGAATACTGAAACATGTCGGGTATGCGGCCAAAAGTCACAGATGTAAACGATTTCGGCCTTAAGAATACACCTTTCTGTGATTAATGAAATTGGAATTGTTCATTTCAAAGTTCATGGATTTTATCCAAAAAGAAAGTTTTATCCAAAAGGAAAATATTATAATTAAATGGGTGACAGACCAGTGTAGCAATACCACGTGACCTTTACGTCTTGTTCGGCATTATGTCCATGGCAAATATTGCTCGATTCGAAAAGGTAAATGGCCGTTAGTATTTTTTTTCTGTACCAATTTCTTTCGGACATGCATCAGTCTACCGGGAAAAATATATAGAATTGCCACAGAATACTGAATCTGTTTTATCAAACACTTTGTATAAACTAAAGTCCGATCTTACACAAACAACTTCAATGGTTATACAAAGTGTTTGACAAAACGGCTCATATACTGAAGGATATCCAATAATATATGGCCAGCTCATATTTTTTCCGCGTAGACTGGTGCATATCCCCAAAACATTGGTACAGAAATAAAATACTTACAGCCATTTCCTTTTTCAAATCGGGCAATATTTGTCTTGGAAATAAAGTCGAAAAAGATACTTTTTTACAGTTTGCTACTTTTTTCATTAATTATTTTGCATTTATCGCTACTTTCTTCAGGTAACAAGCATCTAACATCTGTAAAACCATCATTTAAACATTATAAAATCCATGTTTGCCGTAAAATGTATTTGTTCACGAGGCATAATATGTCTTTAACAATTAAGTATGTATTAGTCTTTTAGATTGATCTCTGTACAGAACTATTGCATTGTCTTACAACCTCATTGTATTTCAGCCTTCGAAAAACGTCTCAAATTAAAGCGGCCATCGTTCCTGTCTTTTAAGTAAAGGTCAATAAATTATATTGACGCACTAATTCATTCCCAAATTGACATTTTAGTTGAACGGTCATTAGATTATAAGGTAATTCATGTGTAAAAGTTTATAAATCGCCATAAACTTCGAGTGTCCGTTTCACTAACTGTCCGTTTTTATTGCCACAATTTCACTTACGCATCTAATAATATTATGATAAGATTCTCTTTCCATGATATCGCTTTCCTTTGATGTTCTGTGATTATGCAAATAATAATCTTTAATTTATGTATAAATTTGCATAAGATGAGCATTCTTCAAGAAGTAATGTCCAATTTATTTAAAATTATTGAGGAATAAATTCTAGACATTTAGACTGGCACCGTATCTCTTTGTTGAGTGGAAAGACACCTCTTTTTTATAATTTTTCAAATGACGTCTCTTGTTTTTAAAGCAAATAATAAGATCTTTCTTTTTGAGTGCGGGAAGATAATGTTTTACCGCAAGACGTTTCTTGTCTTCAGTCGTTACGTATTTCTTTAAATATGTCACATACGTTTTATACACAACGTTGTCTGCCAACGTGTGATACCGCCAGATATTTTTTCGGGGAAAGATTTATATGGCATATGATGATTTTATTATACTATAAAAAGAATCTTATATTATCGACAATTTTATGTAATTATCACTAAATAATGATTTTAAGAGCATTTTAAAAGCTTCTTACCCGAGGAAAGTAGCTCTAATTATGAAATCATTTCTCATAGAGGTAGCAAAATGTAAACAGAGCCATACAAAATACAATGTACCCAAATCACTATAACTGTACTTATTGCCAAAAAGCAGCAGAAGTAACAGTTTTTTTTAGGTAATTGGCTAATGGGCAACTTTTTTGAAACCATGAAAGTACACTCCAAAAATAAGATTTTGTGAAATAAAATTAAAAGCATTTCTGAGGCATAATGGGCCTTTAACGTGATAAAGCGTTGCGTATGAAATTTTAAAAAATCACTTTTGCTACCTTTTAGGCAAGTTACATCACATTCAGAGGTACTTTCATTTCTTCCGGTGATAAGCGTTTAATAAGTTTTAAATCTTTTATCAAATGCTAGATCTTTCCCACGAAGAAACAAAAAAATATTTCTAAGGCAAAATATGTGTAAATACAAAACGTTTACGGGTATGAACTAAACCTTTTCCGATTTAATCTGTGACTCTGCTAGAACGTTTCCAATACCTTTAGGCCTTGTTTTAAACTTTTTTCATTTTAAAATGACGCAATATTTTCAAACTCGTGGCATTAACTTTTATATCTGTATATAAATTCCTTAAAAGGAGGTTTTAACCCGGTTTAGAGTCGACCATTGACGCGTGTTAACCTTAACGTAGTTCTTCTTGCTGCTGGAATTATTGTTGTTATTTCTTACGCGGCGGTGAGGGTTGTTGTTGTTGTTTGATAAAAACAATATTAATTATATTTTCATTTTACAAACTAATGATGCAATATCAATTAACAATCTTTAAATTATTTTCATTAAAACCATTTTTCATAAAACTACGACAAACAAAAAGGACTATGAACGTAATTTTGACCAATTTTACATTTAAAATGAAATTTTAATAGTGATTTTCCCCCATTTCAATTTGCGCACTGAAAAATTAACCATTTTCTCTCTTTTATCATAAACATACTCACAATCTCTTTAACTATAAAATGACGGGTAATGATGTCTTTATCTTGTATTAAAAAAGGCCCTTGATGATATTGGGTAGTCAACCACTAGGGGCGGAAGTCCTTTAGTCTTCTAACACACTCAACGCATCAAAACTATCAGTTTTAAATACTAAGAGGGAAAATATAAATGATATAAATTATTTCAACAAATGAGCAACGCACGCGCCACGTGACACTAGTGTCAATATTTAACTTTGGAAATCAATATACGAACGCCTTAGTGGACTTAAATTGACGCTTAATGACGAAAACCCTCGCTTTGTGATGGTTAAAGTCACTTACGACGATGACAGAGGGGGTATGCGAGGGGTGGCCCGCAGTAATGGACTGGAGGTTTATAAGGACTATCCGAAAACAATGACAGTCTTAAAAGGCGTTGATGTCATATAAATTTATTAAAATACATGTTGTGAATTATAATCATTATTTTGATATTAATTCATTTAAATGATTAGAAAATCGAATGTGATTTACCTAAAATTGTCTGAGTCAGCAAATGTTTGCAAATCTATGGGTAAAAAACACAGTAAGGATTCCATTTTTTAATGCCGAATGTTTCTTATAAAGAAATGGAATATAATTATGTGACTGTGGAAATTGCCTGAAAAAGTAGATATTTCCTTTTTTATTCAATAAATGATCGCATAATATATCCGAACTTTGCAGATTTTTGTTTCAATTTTCCATTTAAAGAATGAAGTAATTTCTTTAATAACTTCTCTTCTATTCGGAAATCTTAACTATCAGTAATCGAACAATACAATCGTAATATTGGGGGGAAAACACGACAAAAAATGTTCAAAAAAAAACCCAAAACAAACAAGCACGGAAACTTTTACCCCTAAACCTGCTATTTGCATAATTGATTTGCAAAGCTTTGAATTTAGAAGAATACTTTTAATGTTTAAAAGATTTCAATATCAAGATATAAAACAAATGAGCTATAAACAGTATTGAAATATCTCTATACTGGTGGCAAATGTTAATCAATTCCGGTTCCGGTTTTAAAAAAAACGCGCATCTTTTTTTAGATAATATTTTATAAATTTGTACTTGTTAATTAGGAGGAATTCAGCTTGATTGAATGTTCAATTAAAACATTTTCTAGTTTTCAATTTCATACCGAATTCATACGTTACTATATTTTTAAAACATAATTTAAGTTAGAGGTTTTCCATGTCGCAGTTAGTTAATACGAAGACTTAATGACTTATTAAATAAATTAGTTTTTTGCCGTTCATCGCATCCAGTAATGAACATAAATTGCAATTATTTTCAGATTTATTATCTTCTCATCAGAAATCGTCTTATTCTGTCCAAATAACAACCAGTACATGTTTAAGTTATGTCGTACAATTCGCCGCTTCAGCAATTAATCAAGCAAAACTCTCCGATAACACTAAAATATCAAAATTGATTGATAATGCAGGGCTCAATGTCGACCCCTTGTTTACACTCGGATTGATCAAATATACCAAGATTCATTTCTTCAAGAAAAATAGATGGTATTTTTTACAATAAAAAAATGCTTAAACGCGTTTAAGGCCAGAAGAAATTAATCCTTATGAACTTATGGAGGTGACAAAACCGAATAAACATATTTAAATGGTTTATTTTTTATTCAATCTTTAATTTTTCAAGGTTTTTCATTTTCCATTCCTTTGTATTCGAATAGACTATCAAAAACTGGCGATTCAAAAATATGAAAATTATGATACTCTATATGCACACAAATAGACAATAAACAGACATTTGAGCACATATATTATATTTGAAAAATGATATAATTTTAACAGAAGCAGCGGATAAAATAATTCTTAAACATAATAAGCAAGTGCATTCATTTGTAGAGCAACATGTTGTACGGAAACTTTGAATCATTCATATATGCGTTTGATCTGTCCTCCGTTCTTCGTTCGTCTGTCCCTACGTCCGTCCGTCTGTTCGTTCGT